CGCGGGGCCCCGGTCCTCACGGAGCTTTTCCCTTGCCCTCCCTCCGCCGTTCGCCGCCGCCCCGGGCGGAGCCGGCGGCCCTGGCTGCGGCGGGAGCGGCGGGAGCGGCGCGGGTCGGGCGGCCGCGCTGAGGCGGCTCGCAGGGCTCCGCCGGCGCACAAGATGGCGGCCGCGCCTCCCCGCCGCCGTGCCCGCGCCGCCACGCCCCCTCCCGCCGCGCGCCGCCCGCCCAATCAGCAGCCGGGGGGCGGGGCCGAGACCGCAGAGCAGCGCACGCCCCGCCCCTTCCTCCGGCGGTGGGCGGGGCCGGGCGGGGCGGGGCCGGGACAGAGCGCTCCCGTGACCCCCGGGACCGTCCGCTCCGGCCACTCGGACCCCCGGGATGGCCACTGATGGCCACCACGATCCCCCCAGCATGGCCTCTATCAGTCCCCTCGGTCCTCATCAGAATAGCAACCTCATTCCCTCCATTCCCCCGGATAGTCTTGCTCAGTTCACCTCCCCAGGACAGCCTCCACCGGTCTCCACGGGACAGCATTTCGCTGTGCCCAGCTGGAGCGTCCTTTCCTGCTCKCGTCCACCACTGCCCGACAGCCTTTTCCCATCCCCTCTGGACARCCCCAACCAGTTTCCTCTGTTACCCGGGACAGTCCCCTTCATCTCTGCTGCGATGGCCTTTCCCTGCCTCTGCAGGGACTTCCCTGTGCCACCACTGTGCCTGTCCCGCAGCAGAGGCACAAAGCCCTGGGCTTTCCCAGCCCCAACAGGTTCCCAGGTTGACCATCTTCTGCTTCTTCATTATTTTGCTCCCCGCTGCCCACAGTGAGGTGACACAGTCCCTGTTCTCCTGTCTGCMGGGTGGCACCGACAAGCAGACCCAGCCCCTGGACATTCCCACAGCCAGCACCCGGCAGTGCCAGAGCCAGCCGAGTTTCCGTATCTCCTGGAAACATTGCATTCCCAGGCCCACACACAGAGGAAATGAACAAAGACARCTAATTGTGCGGCTCAGGTCATTGTGAGTGGCCCTGCAGGTGACAGGTGCCTGTAAGAATCTGACCCTGGCTTGTTGCTGCACGGCAGCCGGGCAGGGTGGTGGCTGTCCCTGCCTGGAGTCAGAGGTCCGGTGCCACAACTCTTCTGGTGCTGGATGGAGGTCAGCCCAGCTGGCATTTGGGATCAAAAGGCAGTTTTAGCATCAAGACCCGCTTTCCAAATTGATCGGGAATTTCCACTGACAAGGGGAAGTGTTTAGGCAGCTCCAGGACATGGGCTCAGCCAGGGGCCGGATACAATGGCTATCCCATGGTCAGGAGAGAGCTGTTACTTTCCTCTGCAGGGAATTCCAGCTTTTTAGTATAACTTATTCAAAGGCAAAACCTTGGAAGCTGTCTGGGAAATATTTATATTTTTTAATATTTACAATGAAGTGTTTTCTACTCTAATGCTACAACTGGTAGTTCTCAAATAAAACACTCAAATTCCCATAAAGACCATTTAAACCMAATTTTACCCACTCCCTCCCTGTTTCCCAGTTAATACCAATTACTCACTACACCAAGCAGCAAACTTTTCTCAGGGGTTTTCCTGAGGGATATACAGCTATTTGTGCTATCTCACATCTCCTCTTCCCCCTCACTCACTGCCTGCCCCATGTGCCAGCTGCCMACCTGCAGTCAGGGAACAGGGATTTCTGGGGGGTTTTCTGAGCTCTCACTGCTCTCCCCCCAGGTGCTGTTGCTGTGCTCAGKTCAGTACCAGGGAGGGGCTTTTTCCAAACCTCAATGTGCAGTTTAAGATGGCAGGGGAAATTGGTGCCTGGCAAGAGCTCCCTGGAGCTGGGCTAGCAGGGTGAGCTTGGAGCTGTGAGCCCTGGGGCCTCAGGAGCTGCCTCAGGAGCACTGGATGGCCAGGAACGTGCTTGGGGACCCGCTSGAGTGCGTCACAAGCAGCAGGGCACTGCCTCAAGATTTAGGCCAAAACCCACTTTCCCAGCTCTCATGTGCTGCCAAATACTGTCATGATCTGAAAGCCTGTAGGGATTCGAAGTGTGACAACATCCTCCAGCACAAAGCATGAGCATCAAACTCCCCAGCTTTGCTCCTCCAACGGGATKCTGTGGGGACAGACTGTCCTGAGCCTGGCTTCCTGCAGCACAGCCTCCACACTGATCCTGGGTATCCTCACCCACCCCAGGGCCTGGGCTTACACCATACAGGGTGATGCATAAATAAACACATTATGATGCCTCCACCATGAGAGCAGGGCACAGTTTAACCCTGGCTTTTGTTCCAGAGGGTGGCTGAACCCAGCCCTGGCTCTGGACTGACCCCGAGCTGGGATTTGTAACCAGCTGCTGTGAGTGGGGATTGAGACAAGAAGTGCAAATATGGGGAAGTGAGAATTGGTCTACTTCCCTCTCCCCTGAGTGAGAGGACCCATTTCCTTTATTTTTGCAGAGAAATACCCCAATCCTCCAAAACAACAAAGTATCTCTAACCACAGCTTCCCTTTTGACCTTCCCCAGCCCTGCAGAACCTGCTTTCAGGTGGGTGAAAAGTTGCAGTCCCTGCACCATGGCAGAGAGGCTCCTGGCCCTGAAGGGCTCAGAGAACCAGCTTGGGGCACAGGGATTAGACTGACAAGAACAAGAACCTCTTGTGGTCTCCCACATCTTTCCTGCATCATGACAAGCATCCACAGCCTCTGGATGTGATGGGGTTCCAGCCCCGTGTCACACACATGGACATAGGGCAATGTGTGGACTTCCAAGCATGCAGTAACCACCACAGCCATCCTGGCTACCCAGGAGAGACCTGGGGCCACCACAGCTCACTGCCTGCCCCCTGTGCAGGAGCAGGAGAGCTCCAGGTGCTCTTATGGCTGAGGGAGCGAGCGTGCTTGGGCCTTGCACATAGAAAAATGCAGATATATTGCAACAGCAGAAGAAAAATAATCTGCTGGAAATGGAAAGGAAAAACCCCACAAATGATCAAGAATTAAGATGTTTTTTCACATTGGATTTGGCCCTGTAAGGCACATTATCTGCCACTGCTACAGCAGCAAAAATCTCTGGCAATGAAGAATTTACTGGTCCCCTAATTACAGATAGCAGGAAGCAGAGAACAGACATTACAGCAGGCATTACAGAAACAGCCAATCTGAAGAGCACTAAAGCCCTTTCAGTGGATCCAGTCTTACAGCATGTAACCGAAAATAAACTGTATTTCCAACAAACATGTGAACACCCATCAGTGTGGCAGAACCAAGGCTATGATTTTAGTATGGCTGTCAAGGTTAATTCACTCGAGGGCAAACASAAAACCAACACCATCCACAGGATATTTAATGCAATCTGCACAATGTGGAACTAACTACCCTCAGATATCACACTCCCCACTCTATTACTCCAGCTCCACCTTGGTGTGAGCACAGCCAGTTGGAAATGCTGTGGCACATCCCACTCCTGATCCATGTGTGCACCCCCCATCCACAGTTCCTCGAATGCTGCTCAGTCTGTCCGTGCATCCCACACTCAGAGGAGCTTCAGCACCCACAGATGGGCAGGAATCCCACATCTACCCCTTGTTGGTTTCCTCAGTGACTCAAACTGCAGGCCAGGGCCTGACCATCTGCCTGTGTACCTAACAGAGAGGTCTTATGCTTAATGGAGATAAGCATTTCACTATGAAATAAATAATCTGTATTTGAAATTACCTAAGAACTTTGTTCATATTTAGCCAKTTGAGTCCTTAAAGAAAAATTCTGAAAGCATGGAAACTTTAGTAAATGCACTCCTTTCACATTAATTAATGAGTACCTGAGAATAATTTTTTGCTTAAAAGATAAAGCATAGCCTTCAAGTATTTCTGGACTAAAAAGGCAAAAATTACTAATTTTTGAGTCATGATTCCYAGCAATGCCATGTTGATAAATTTATTTTTACAAGGTGCACTMTAAAAACTGAGTCCCTGGGAAGGGTTTTTCACAGTCAGGGTTTTCCACAGGTTTTGGAAGTAGCAGGGGAAACCATACAAGAGGAAGCTCTCCACCAAGACAAACACAGCATCCAACACCTCAGACCTTAGAGAAGATTGCAGACACTCCTCAAGTGCTGGAAAAGACTTTCCACAGATGTTCCCTTAGTAAAACACCACCTGACTATAGCAAATGCCAACACTGCCAAGTGTTACACACACTGTCTTGTATTCAGGTGTGGTGCAAGAAGTGAATACATCTGGCTACGCCTGCTTCCTCCAAAAAGGGGCATGGTGTTTGTCCAGGCTGGATCACCCCACACAAGGGCTCATCCCACACACAAAGATCAGCTCATACTGCAGCAACCACATCACTGAGTGCAGGCTACGTGTGGTTAAAATAGCTTTGCCTGGTTTTGGGCAATTCTAAAAACTAAAGCGAAAAGTTTCAAAGAATGGGAGGAAAACACCAAACAAAAGCCCCGGTGTGGCTATCAGAAGTACCACTTCTGTCCTTCAGAAACACACTGWCATTCTGGTGGATGATGCAGGACTGTCCCTGGCCCCTGCACCGTGATCATCAAGTCTCTGGAGTCACACACAGAGCAGCTATAAAAACAAATCTTATTCCTGCCCTCTGCCAGCTGCAGAAGAGGGCAAGTCCAAAACCCGCAGGAAGAAAACCCTGAGCAACAGCAGCCAGGCAAATCCCATTCTGCAAAGTGTAAGGAGTGGAGGAGGAAATGGGGTCATCTTAAGGAATGCTGGTTTTAACAAGATCACAATGTCAGTGAAACCTGTGAACTGCATCAGTTTAAATTCAAATTAAAGAGAACCTGCCTAAAAYTCTGTGTCATGTCTCAGTATACACATGGTTATCTCCCTTCTTCTGCAAAGTACAAACTCAGACAAGTTCGACAAGTTGGAACCAAGTCCACTTCAGCCKCTTAGAAAGGCTTAACCCACTTAAGAAATAGACGTAGCTATACAGAAACAAATTGAAATGCATGGCTGTCTAGAAATATATCTTTAAGAAATTATCCCAATTTTCCCAGTTTCCAGTAACCAGTGTGTGGTTCACTGAGCACAGCCAGCTCACCACCACCATGATGGTGGATTGCAATGTTCAGAAGAAATCAGAWGCCTTTCTTCTTTTGGGAAGCTGCAGTAAATTGTCCGTGATGGAGGTAGTATCCTGAGATACTGGTGTGTGAGTTTCTGTCCTAGACTGCGGGGTGCTCTGCGGGGTTTGAGGCCCACTGGCTGGAGTTTTGTAACCAGGAGTTCCTGTGTGGGCTGGGGAGGGAGTGTAGCTGGCTCGCAGGGCTTTGTCGGTGTATTTACTCGCAGTCCTGTTTACAAGTCTTTGCAAAGCCGGTGACATTGCTGGGCTCAGTCCTTTAGGCGTAAGGCTGAAACAGAATAAACAGTTTTAAAAGATTTGACAGTAAAAAATCTGCCTCTATCAGGAAAAGCATTATTGCCTCCCTACATGATTTTCCTCATAGAGCAGACCCTCTGCCTGCAGGTAAATGCAGACCGTCTACAGAGACAAGTGGCAGAGAAACTCCTACATCCCTCCCAAACCTGAGTGGAAATGCCTGACTTTTCCTTTGAGCCCACTCTGTCCTTTTTGTGACCCACCCAAGCAACTCTTATCATGTCTCCTCTTTGCAATGAGGCAAGACACTGATCCAGAGGCATCGCTGGGTGGCTGTACGTCAGAACAGTAATGCTGACAAGGAGTGTCAGGGACAGCCACCAGCCACTTTCCCTCAGGAATTAATTTTTTTGATTTCTAAACTTTTCATTTCTAAAAACTTTCAGTCCGAATGTACCTCTTCCTGCTTCCATAGTATCCTTCCTTACCCTCATTCCTCCCTTTCTACATGTGCTGATTTAAATCTCATCAGATAATACCCATCCCCAGCTCTGGTGTCAAAACAGGAGTCTCACCTGGCCAGGTTTTCTGTCACTTTTCGAAGTGCCTCCTGTTTCTTTGCTCGGTTTTTAGCTGCCACYTCATTGGCCATCTTGAGTCCTAACCTCTCACGGCGCCCGGGCTCCAGGATCTATAAATGCATCACACAGTTCACTTGCCAAGGCACTCAAGAGTGCTGCAAAAATGAATCAAAGCACCTTCACAGCTGGATTCCAGTGTACAGGGATCTAAAGCAGGGAGAACTGGGGTCAGCCTGCACCTCTCTGCTGCTGCATAAAAGCCAGAGAGGACACAGAGACCTACAACCTGCCTTAGCAAGTAACAAAAATGGTAAAACCAGTCCAGTCAAGGAGGCAGCCATTACCTCTGGAATTTCCTCCTGCTGTTTCTCCTAGACAAACAATGTCACCTATGTCTCGYCTGGCCTGCAGCCAGCCAGCTCTCAGGCATACACATGCATTGCTAAACAGCAGGAGAACCAGTCAAGGCCTTTGGAGTTTGACAAAACAGAAGCACATACAGTAAATTACACCTTTCTTAAACTAAGAGTCTCAGCTCACATTCAATGACACCAGCAGGAGACAGGTGGCATGCAGGGTTAGGTATCATTAGCAAAGCCAGAGTGTCTTTTCTACTCTTAACTGCTACACCTGCCTCAGGCTGCAGCAGCCAGAAAATAAAGGTAGAGAGAAATCCTAACATTTCCACCTATTCACACATGAAAATCAGAAAAACTGAGCATTTCAGCTTCCTCTGAAAGCCCCTCTGTCTGGGCCCACCATCAAAAGCAGAATCTCATTCTCCTGCCAGCAGTGTGTACTCCACCAAGTAGATTCCATGTGGATCCATGCYCACCTCCACCCTCCAAGCACAAACTAGACTATTAGTCTCAAGGACTGGGAACACCACCCAGAGATGTGTCACACTCCATGGTAATCTATTACTGACTCACTTGCCTTTCCCTTCTTAGCTCTTCCCCCCCAGAAAACAATGTCATGCTGACATGAAATACCTTGAAAGCTGGTCCAGGTGTTCTGTCCACATATGGTCTTTCTGACCCTTCCAGACGCAAAGGGGTGCTTTCAATTTCACCCCATGTCATAAAAGGAGACTCATTCACACCTGAAAACAAATTCATAGTGTCATGCCCATGCAAGACATTCGATTTTTTTTCATTCACCACAAAAAAAAAGCAGCAAATTAGGAAATGCAGGAACCTTAAACTCACAGGATTGCCTATAGCTGTGTCACCCTCTCAGTTACAACAAATAAGCACTGTCTTTTCCATGTCTTTATTTTTCCATTTGCTAAATCTTTGATTAGTGACACTTCCATTTTTCCCTCTATAGTATCAGTCATCCCCTCTGCCACTGTATGAAAATTCCTTCAACATGAGAATCTCTTTAAAAGTAAGAAAACAGGCAGAGGACTTAAAAAACATGAAATAGCCAAAAGTACTGTCCAATCACCTCAGGGGCAGCCTGTACCAGACAGTGACTGCACCTGGACAAACAGGTGTAGAAAGGATTCTAAGAGCCTAATAAAGTCTCTGGCTAGAAAATCCCACTGTCCAGGTTTGGAAAAGCTATTTATGATGAAGAAAGGAGGTGCTCCAAACGCCACCTACAGGTTTTCCAGAGGGAAAGCCCCACTATGTTCAGGTTTTGGCAYAATCACAAAACCCACAGGGAAACAGAATGGCTGGTGAAGAGCAGCTACAAATTCAGACACCACATTTCAGCTTGAAGAAATAACCAGTTTGTTCTAAGTGAAGGCACCCTGTAGCTAGATCACTGCTGAGCAAGGGCACAGCAACTTGCTCAGATCCCCTTGGTGCRGTGTGACTTCTCCTACCTGTGTACTGGACTAGGATTTAAGCCCTGCATCCATTCAGCACACATGGAGGAAGCTTTACCTCCTTCTCTAACCCTGTAATGACACCCTGGTGTTGAACAGAGCATCAGAGTAAGTGCAGWAATGGTCCTCCTAAAGCAGAAGAAATAAGAAAATCCTCTCACCTGGGGCAGGAGARGGGGTAGCCACAAATCCATATCCATTAACTTTTGGAGAGTCTTGGGGTATCAGTTCTTTCCCATCTGGTCCCACTTTGCCCTGTTTGTACTGGAATAAAAAAGACAGTGCCATTCATGTGGAGAAAAGTGTGAGTCAGCTGTATCCAGCACACACATATAGTTCTCCTCCTCTCACCAGAGGTCAAAGACTAACTAGGTTTTAGTCAGAAGAAATTATCTAACCTGAGCATTGAGGGCTGCAGCTTGTTGGAGCTGTGATTTGCTCACAGCTTGGCTAAAAGGGTCCTTCACAAAACGGGTGTTTCGATGCACAACTTCCCTGGGCTTCTTAAAGACATCACTCTCATCAGGTACACCTTGAAAAGCAAAGCATCTTTTAAAAAAGGGCTCTTTTCTCTACTTCACTGGTTCACAGAAATGTTTAACTGTACATTTATAGTCAAAAAAGAAAACCGCATTTGCAAAAACATGGATTAGACCAAGAAAGTAAGAAAGAAAAGGAAAAAAAAAAAAGAAAAAAAACCACTTTCTAGAAACAACTTTACATATTTTTTAAAACAGCTTTACCTATCTGGGCTTCACAGAAGAAAAAACAGCATTACCTGTAAGAGCTGCTCAGTCATTGACAGGAATGCTGTAAGCACTGTTTGGAGCCAACCCACCTGGAAGCAATGCCTTACCTGTAGGATAATACATGAGGGTGTTTCGAGCTGTGTATTCCCAGGTATCCAGACCAGCTTTTACATTCTCCAGAGCTTGCTGCTCTGCTGAAGGCAGTGCCAAGTTTTCATTTTGTCGCTGAAAGGACAAATGGTTTGAAAGGTGAAAAATCAGAATCAGGTCTAAAGCACCCTCCTGCAATCTTTTATTCAGGCAGACACAACTTGGAAAGCTCAGTCACAGGCTCAGCCACCCTTTGCATCAGACATGTAACAGAGTCTGAGGAACAAYTGAGACAAAAAAACAACAAAAGGAGCGAACACCCACGTGTCAGTGCCAAACTTCATTAAAAGGCACTGCATCCCACATCCATCAATGACAAATCTGTGCCAGCTGCTCACTGCTGATGGTTAAAGACTGACAAGGCAGGCCCAGAACAGCTCCCAGACCTCCCCTGCAGGCAGCTGAGGGAGGCAGCACAGCCAGCCCTGCTCATGCAGTTCTGTGCTTCAGCAGCTGAGTGGGTTATTATTGATAACAGAAACACAAAACTGAAACAGGATAGACAATCTAACTGCAAACAGTAAAAGTTGATAAGGCAAACAACAAGAACTGTGCTCTGCTGCTCTCCCTGCTGTTGCTGCTTATGGAAGAAGCTGCCGAGGACTGCAGTACCTGCACTCTGTGCAGTGTTTTGCAGCCTCAAAGCTTTCAGAAGAGGCATCCTCAGCAACTTAGCCAGCACTGTGCTTGTGTGACAGAAGGGGAAAAAACAGGACTGCATAGGGAAACAAAGAGCAGTGACAGGACCCAGGAAACAGCCTTAGCAGAAACACAGTGAAATGGTATCTCCCTCTGGAAGAGACAGAGCTGAGGCAATTCCCTACCCGGGCGTACTCCTCCTCTGCACTGTACAGCCAGGCATGCTTGACTTTCTCCTTCTCTTTGGCCACCTCCATGATCTGCTCAAAGGAAGCATTATCTTCACTCGTGTGCTTTGCCAAGAAYGTGTCCAGACTGGGAAGTGCATCTTTATCATCTTTTTCTGCTTCTCCTAGCAAGAGAAGGGAAGAAGCCTGAGAAAGGTTAATGCCTCCCTCTCCATGAGAGCACTCTCTACCTCTTAACCTCCTGACAGTGAACCTTCCATGGACACACTAATAACTAACATCAAGCTTGGTCAAAGAAATAGATTCACACAGACTGGTGCAGTAATAAATCTTTCCTCAAACACTTAAAACCAACTTTCACATAAACTCTTTCATGGCATTTATAGCAATTTATTTTAAAGGTAAAATTCACAGATGGCCAGCTGCTAGCAGACATTTTGTTTTCCTGTTGCTGAAGAATTCAGCTAGAGAAACATAATTCTCTTACCTTCCTCTGCAGTTTTGATGCCAGCTTTGGATTTATTTCCCCCCACTGGAAGGCCACCTAGATGCACTTCRGGGGTTTCAAACGTGGCTGGGGTAACATCTGTCACCAAAAAAAACCAAAAGTTCACTTGGTTACTGGAGCACACAACAGGACTTGCTGTAAGGATCATGTGCCAAACAAGTCACAGCAGGCATGTCAAGAGAACAACAATTTAATTAAAAACTTGTGAAAAAACTCCAGAATGTTCTGTTCAGTTCTGTCTCAACCTCCAGACAAGATTTTGGCCTCATCTAAGCCATTGTTTTCCTGCTGGGAGAAATTCCCAGGACAGCCACAGCCCAATGTATTTGTCACCCCACCCCTGCTTTGGCCAACAAGAGCAGCAGCAAATCAAACTCAGCCCAGAGCAGGGCAAGCACCTGCAGTGGGGAGGAAGGGACACCACCAGTGACACAGGCCCTTCATCACAAGAGAGCAACTTGCCCAAACCCCACTGCAAGAGCTCACACAGGGGCTGGGCTTTAAGAAACACCTGAACTGRAAGTGAAAGAAAAGATAAAACCGAGCATTGGATACTTTCTGTGGGAACCTCTGATAACCCTGAGCTTCCTACAGCTTCTGTCCCTAATACACAAAAATCTCATGTCTGTAGATTCAACAAGAACCTCTAAAACTGCCAACTGAAACAAGGATTCGAAACACAGCTTAGAATTTCTGATAGTAGAGAGCATGTAACATTCCCTAGGAAGCAGGAACTTGGCAAAAGATGCCTATAAGGAATGGTTATTCAAAATCTGCTTTTTCCAAAACCTTTTCCTCAAGGAGTTATTAGACACCATCAAAGTGAAATTYAGCATCAGCCACCAGCCACTGGCTACTGCCCAAACCAGTACACTTAATTCTCATGCAGCATCAACATTGGATCTTTAAGATAAGCATTGCCTGCACCAGGTTAGGTAAAGCAGAGCAGCAATATCAGATACAAACCCCTTATGCCCCAGAGAGACAGTTCTTACATGGTGCAGGTGTGTCCCTCGATGATTTATTCAAGGAAGAGCCAAACTTGATAGCAATTTGTCTCATTTTCTCCAAGTCACCATTTTCTTCAGCCTCCAGATAGTCCTTCTGTGCTCGCAACTTCTCCACGTCGGGAAAAAAGTCTCGCTGGATGATTTTCTCCAAGCTCTACAAACACAGACACAACTTTAGTAACACGGTGGGATTCCTGGCGTGCCGGCTCGGCTCGGGGCCAGCTGTGCACGGCCACAGCAGGCCGGGCAGCCCCCGGACATTGTGCCGGTGGCACMGCGGTGACAGCTGTCGCCGCAGGAGGGACACAGGCTCCAGGGGTGGCCGCAGCGCTATTTCGACCCGCAGCCGCGGTTGCAGCGAGCAGAGGCCGCGGGCGGGTTCCGGCCGGGCGGACCCCAGCTGGAAGCGCTGGGCCAAGGCACCGGCGGATCGGAGCGTCCCAGGCTTAGGCCCGGCCCCGCCGCCTCACCTCGATATACGCCTCCTCATCCAAGATCTTCTTSGGCTGCTTCGGGGCCGGCGACACCACCTCCTTCCCCGTCACSACGACGGGGCCCGCGGCGGCAACCGGCACCAGGGCGGCGGGAGAGGCCGCGGGCACCGGGATCGCCTCCATCGCGTCGGATCCGCTCCGCTTCCTCCTCCTCCTCCTTCGCCGCCGCCAACGCGACGGGCCGTGACGTCACATCTSCGCGCCAAGGGAGCGCAATGTCCGCCCTGCCCCCCGGCCCGGCGGATGCGCGGGCCCGCGGGCGCCCCCTGGCGGCT